GAAAATAGATATATCCTATTATAGAAATAGGAAATGATGTGAAACGCGATTGAGTTAGATTGGGTGATAGATAATTGTCATCAATATTGAATATATATTTTTTAGAGATAACTGATCTATTCTGTCAACGCAAAGTGTGGGAAATATTGAAGTTGCCAGTGCGTAAAATTAAACACACATTTAAAAATCCACATCTCGTAATAAATTTTCATCGACTAATCTGACATTTGCTAAACAGATACATCGAAACATCGTATAATATCTGCGCAAGCGAGTCTGATAGAATTAGTTTGAAAAGTGGGTAGACTCGCCTCCCGATTTCAATAACGTATGACCTCTTGACATTCTGACAAATGTCACGAATTTTTACGAGAAAAGCCAAGTCGCACGTGCGTTTTAAAAAATTCCTGACTGCGTTGAGCCCTTGTTAATTGCATATTGCACATACAATCACACACATACAATTTTGCAAGTTAATACGATTATGATTTAATATTTTAATTACTATTTTCGTACTTTTTCTGAAAATATAAATAATTTTATAAGCGAGAGCAAAAAATTCAAAGTTATTAAAATCGCTGTCAAAATTGTGAAAATATCTTAAACGGATATGATATAAATAAAGGAAGACAGAGATAATATTAAATATATCATTTATGTAATATTAACTTAAAAAGAACAATAATCACATATCTATTTAAAAAGAGAAAAAAATACGTTGTTTCGGATATTGCAAATCACATAACGTACACATGCATGCAATTTCAATAAAAATTTCAAACTTGTCATCTTGTTTCGATATAAAAGACGGGCTATTTTTTACTGCCCCGAAAGTGCGTCTCAATGAACACGATGCGTGAAAAAAAGGAATTATCAATCAAAAACCGGTCTCTCTTCGTAAAAAATGTCTTAATGTAATCCGTGTTCGCGTGTGGCCCAAGAATGACGAAACTGATGCGGCTAGATGCGAATAGAAGCAATCAAGCGAGACGAGAAAGGGAAAGGAGAGGAGGACAGGGGGAGAGAGAAGCGTAAATTTTTCGAAAAAAATCCTCATTGATGGATAGTTTATCGCGTCCCTGTTCTACCAATTATTCCTTCCCTAAATCCTTCTCTGCCTTTCGCTTCTCTCGTCTTCGGTCACACACATGTATACATACACTCACACCATCTCTTCTCTTTTACTGCACGAGGGTGCCCCCTCCAAGCCTTCCTGGACAACAGAGCCTACCTAAATATCGGGGGATCATGCTAAACGGCGGCAGATCAAAGGGACCGACAGAATCCGGTGGCGAGCTATCATAATAATTAGGCTCGCTCGCGCCTCTTTGTATCGGGATAGAAAAGCCGACGTGGAAGGCCGAGAAGAAGAAGCGAAGACGCAGAAGAAGAGGAAGAAAAAGGGCTGCGGACGGTCCGGTTGGTCGAACTGGCCGGGAAGAACGGTCGGCACCGCTCTTGCCCGCTAAATTGAACCTAAGGGGACTCTAAAAAGATTTTACCGATTTCGGTGAATGAGAGATTGCTTGCGCTCCTCGCAATCAATGTACTCGGACACCGCCGAGTTTCACGCCGGGGTTAATTGATTCAATAAATATTTCTCGACAATTAATTTAATCGCCGAAGCGATGCTAATGCGCGTGTATATGTGTGTAATACGTCGTATATTAGATATTAAATACAGAGTGTCTGTGAAATAAATGAGTGATTTAGTATGCGATCCAAAATCGATTTTTCGTAGAGAAAGTATCAATCGTTTTTGTGTCATAAACGATTGAAAAGATATTAGTACGCTTGTTTGCGGAAAGTAAAGTCTTATTTTTTATATCTTTAAGTATAACAAGATTTTTTCTTTTAGAAGAATTTCTCTATTCTTCAATCTAGCTTCTACAATCATATGTATAATTATTCAGATATTTAATGTTAAAAGTTTTGAAAAAATGAATATATTATTTTGCGCGGCATATATTTATTTTTCGAAAATATCTTATAAACTATGATTTCTCAGAATTAAACATTTTCTATCGATAAAATCTATTTCAAAAAAGGATTTAGAATTGCCAATAAAATCTAAAAATAAAATAGTGCGATATACGTATACATATAGGGAAAAGATGTTTGATATTTCTCTCCCCTCTTTTAATATATGTCATATCAGTTTCAAACATGAAAAATTCTATTTATCTTGCATGGATGAAATTTATTTCTCAAATTCTCTTGTTTACATCAATTTATCAAATAATTTGTATAAAAATACTATTAAAGAGTCATATCAATTCTGCGCAATGCTAAGTCTTTACTAACAATTGTTCCTCCGCACATGTCACATTTACGAAGCGTATATTTTTCAGGTCTATGCTACTTGCAATGAAATAATGATTATTAATCCGCGACAATCTAGATAGGCAGGATGTTGGTAGGATTAGATTACACGTTATGCATGCAATCGCGCACAATTTACTATCGTCGTGTACGCTAAGCGCGGTAAATTGCTTAGCGCGATTTATTACAATTATCGGTGTTCATATTATAGACTCGCGAAATCCGCTTCTGTGAAATTCCGAAGGCATGAAAGCGACTCGTCGCTGGGTGAAAGTGAATTGTGTTTCTCGGTTGTTATATAAATTCATCGTATTTGCATCAGAAATCGATATATAATATCGATTTATATATGCAGACAAATAGCAGAAATAAACTGTCTATATACCTGTATGTCGGCGAATATAATATGTGACGAGTAACAAATTTTCATTCAACTTTTCCTACGTTATTTCTTTTCTATCATAATAATGACAATTAATTCTTACTTCGACAATTATTAAATTTATTTAACATTTCTTTGCTAATACATAATTTATTTATGTTAGCAATAATTCAATAACACTCGCTAATTTGGACAAAAAATATTAATTTACGCGAATGAGATCCAATAGAGCGTTATATTTCCTTAAATATAATATGCAATTAATATCTATTGAAATTGGAGTAAATTAAAGAATTAACTTTATATTTTTTAGAACGCGTTTTCAGTTCTTATTGTCGGTGCAAGTTGAAAAACTTGAAAATATATATAAAACATGACATATAAAGTAGATACAACGGTCCGTCGGATGCATCCGGTGCGATTTCATCGGTTAAAAACCGCGTAAAAAGAACTAAAATGACATACGCTCTCCAGAATTCAACAGTCTTCCGCTATGCTCCCTTTAAGTTGAGTTTGTTCAATGGAAACACTTGTTTTTCATTCATCAATTCATACAAAAGATCGTCACGACAATAAGCAATAATTTGATGAATAGTTTTGATGGAAATTATATATATATATATATATATATATATATATATATATATATATATGTTTTATTTTTATTCTCTCAAACTTTGATTATTTATAAAAATGTTATAAAAAATTAAAAAAGTTATTCTTGTTCACACACAATGAACAATACATTCATAATTTAAAATTTCGTTAATTACTAGAACACATTTCTTCTTATAAATATTCTATTAATATTTTTTGTCTAAATAAAGAAGTTACAATGTTACTTTAATATCATGTATAAAATAATTGGAGTTCCAGTATCTAAGAGATATATTTCGCAACGAAATCAATTAAAAGAGAGATAATTAAAAGAGAGATAATTGAAACAATTAAGAAAGAATACCGTGTAATTAATTTGCTTTTCACGTGTCTTAAATTCGCAAAAGTCTTTAATTCGCAGAATTTAATATCTACGACGGAAGAACAATATCGAATAAGATGTTAGGATATTAACTATTAGTTGTCGACGAAAAGATTGCCGCAATTACATCTAAATTGAGTCTCAAATCGGGCTATAGATAATGATATGTAATAGTCGGAATACTCTTTTTATTATTATTACGGGCCAATCTTTCGTGATATCATCGATAGCCGTGAATCCATACCCTCTGACAATTTTGATTATAATTCGATCAACTATTTTCAATTCGCTGAAAGTATTGCTTGATTGAATTATTTTGATAAATGATTTTAAAATCTTTGAAAATCAATATATCACAACGACTATAAGAAATTTCTCTATCATATTTAATACATTGTTATTTTTGATTAGATTTTGATAAGATTTTCGTGTTAATTCCCTAAGTACGTTTGAAATAAAAAAGATATTGAAAATATCCCTTCTTTCTCTTGATCGATTTTTATATATCACATTTTATACTCTTTACGTTCAAATAATAATAAATAATAAAAGAAAGACGTAAATATAATAATAACAATCGAGGAAGTGACAAACGCAAATTATAGAGACGTTGTGCATAATGCATAATGCATAATACTGCAGCAGACAAGTCGCCGGTTCCTCGGTGTCGAGCATATCGCGCCCTATCGAATATACTTTTGTCTCGAAAGTCGTTTATCTCCTATCTAGATGTTAGCGGCCGCGTTAGACTTTTCGTCCGATAATCCGTTCCCAAGCTCGCTCGCGGCGGAGGCCGAAATCCGTACTCTCCGGGTGGGACGAAATCACGGTGGGCCCTCGTTAGTCGCCCTCCGCGTCGTGGAGGGTCAGTCCTACGTCATTCGAGCGAGAGAACGCGTGCGATACGTGGCAGAGAAGGAGAGACGAGAGCGCGAGAGAGGAGTTACTCTCCGGGGGTAGAGTCGAAAGGTAGAGAGGAGAGAGAGAGAGAAAGAGAGAGACCAGGACGATGAGGAAGGAAGGACGGTCGCACCGTTGCGCTGCGGGACGTTAAGTACGTCTCGTAAAAATTCCATCCCGTAGCGGCGTCATTTTGCCGTGCTCGCTACGTTAGGCATCATAGGCGGGGTTGGATCTGGCTCGGCCTCTGGGTCCGCCAAAGGGGCAAGTCTCTACAACGGAGGTGGTACCCGGTGCCGTAGCAGCGGCTTCGAAATGTGCGGCTGAGTCGGAGCGATTCCACCGCCCTTCTACGCGTGCGCTGAACCGGTTGTGAGAAAAGCGCCTGCCCAACGCCGGCGCCGGGGGATCCCCGTCCACCGTACCATTTCGCGTCACCGGCTTCGACTGGCCTGAGAGAGGAGGCACCCCGGCTGCCTCCTTAGCTCCGAAACTCGTTAGAAACGCCGACGTATTGACGTTTCGCGCGCGTATCTCGCTCGCAGCGGGATCTATCCTGGCAACGCGCTCGGCATCGGGACGCGTCGCGCTGTGTGCTCGTGTTCAGTGAGGATAGCAAACGGGAAGAGGACTGACATCCTTCTATCGTCGAGCGTCTACTCCCACGAACAGGTTGTCGTGAAAATTGCCTCGAAGCTCGCTCGCGCTATGAAGTTCTCGTATGGTATTCTGGTGTTTGGTTCAGAAGGGACAACGGTGATAGTGCGCTAGAATGAAGAGGGTGAACGCGAGCCGATGTCTGACACTTGACGGGAATCACTGATCTCGAGGAAAATGATTCGGCGAGAGATATGAGACTCGGATGCTGATGATGAGACTCGTGTGCTGGATTAAGCGCAATGACGGAGAATACGAGTGCAGTATTGACGGATTGTCGATAGCAACGGTGTCGGTAGATTTCGTGCTCCCTTATCAAGATCCTCCGAGGTTCGGACATGTTAGATCAGTGAATGAGACTCGATACTGTGCGGCAATCTCGTGAACAGTTTCCCAAGACAAAAGTGCGCGTTGAAAGAATGCATAGTGTTTGAGGAGTTTAAACCTGTCGCGACCTCGACTGACTGCCAAGAGCCAGACAGGCGAGTGTCTCGAGCGATTTATAAGTTAGCTATCTCTGCTCCATCCGCGAGGCATGTGTACCACGGAGATGACGGAATCGTACACGATGTCGCCGTCGACGACGGTATCTTCCAGCGCAGCAACGCCCGGCTGCATGAGCGGCTCGCCGACGCACCGACGGACGTCGTGCAGAAGCTCGCCAGGTCGAGGAGACGTCCAGGACGACGAGGACGAGATCTCCGTGGGCTGTCCTAGCCCGCTGCCGCTGGTGGTCGTGACGCCTAACACGGAGGACGAGCTGGCTTCCTCCAGGGAGGACTACGTCGACCGTCTGAGTCCCCGAAGAACGTACGTGCGAGATTCGATGACGGAGGACGAGGAGAGAGATTATTCTCGCAACGGAGAGTACAGGATGTCGAACGGGCGAACAAGTAGCAGGACTCGCGAGAGCGGCGACTCGGTTACAACGCTCAGAGACGACGAAGAAGACGAGGAAGAAGAAGAAGAGGTAGACAGCAGGACTGGTAGCAACGGTGCGACAACCGCCGGAACGACCGATGATTATTTCAAGCCGTTGAAACGTCTGAAGATGGTACAGGTGCAGCACTCGGACGAGGAGGACGAGAGAGAACGAGAGTCGAACGATCGCGGGGTCAAGTCTTTCAGTATCCTCGACATCTTGTCGCATCGGCCAAAAGCGAAGATTGTCCGTCCCTGGGACACGGTGGACTCGGGCCTCAGCCATCAGCACCGTCATCATCTGCAGCAGCATCAACATCACCAACACCATCTGCACCACCATCATCACAGTAGTCATCCGGCTCACGCGGCCGGACCTCGGGATCTCTCGCTGATGGGTATGTCACTCGCGTCCATGTCCGGCTCCATTAGCGAGCCGCCTCTCAGCAGCTCCTCGTCGTCCGGAAGGAGCTCGGTGTCGGATTCCGGTAGCCCGGACCCGCTCGCCCATCATCACCATCATCACGCCGCGCTTCATCACGCGGCCATTCATCCCGGTCTGCATCATCCGGCGCTCCAGCAGCCGCAACAGCAGCAGCATCAGCAGTTCAAGAGGAAAACGCCGCAGCAGCATGGCTCGCACACCGGCCAAAACGGCAAGAGAACCACAGGACAGGGCAGTCCCTTGGATGCGCTCTTCCAGATGACTAGCAAGACCTTCGACGCGGGCGAGCACAGTCAGGGTGAGCGCTCAACAATTTTCAATATCCTTCATAAATTTACCACAGACTTGCTTGTGATTGAATTTTACGCGTGTTTTGGAAATACTATTATTTTCTCGCTTATTCATAGAGATAATTTTGGGAGAAAGTTTACATGAGATTGATTATCAACGCAGATAATTATTAATGATTGATATATAGATATCTGAATATCTCATCAGAGAGTGTGAAAATCTTACTTATATAAGACCTATAATAGATCTTATTTAAATAAAATTCTCAATGAAAGTTCTGATATGATTTATAAATATTGCATTTGTTCGATTATTAATACTTTCTATAAATCAATTTATTTAAACAGTCTAATATAATTAAGTAGTTTAATCAGAACATTATATTCTCTTTCGTATATATATAACATAATTTTATGATATATGCGATAAATAATTCTTAAAAAGAAATATTTCAAACTTCAATTTTATACATCTTTAACAAAAATAGTTGGTCAATTATTTATCGTTAATAATAAATGTAAAATTATTTGTAAACTATGTAATTATCGCACTGGTAATCAAAATAAGTTTCACGCAAGAAATGTTTTATTTTGAATAAGAAATCGCGCACATGATGAATGATACTTATTTATTTTACTCATTGATTTTATCTTTAAATAATTTCCGTGCTTTAAAAAATATATATAATTTTTAATACACATATTTTAATATATTATATATTTGTATATATATTTACATTGCGTAAATATTTTACTCCGAACATACAATGAGACTTAACGATTCCAGTAGCGACGGCAAGTTTATTCACCGAAAGTAGCGAACAGTTTTCGAAAGAAATTCGTACAATATCATTTTTCACATTTGTGTTCCCGTATGATACTTTAATTGCGACATGCGACTCATACGTTTACGGTAATTACTGAAACTCCAATCTCTTGCATAAGGGATTAACGTTGCGATATAATCAGCACCGCATTAAGAAGAAATGCATATCGGGCCTCACACTTTGAATATTCGACTATGCAATTTTAGATTGCTTAAAATTTTATCGTTATATCATGCTTACGTTTTAACAGATGAGATACGTGCGCAGAAACGCGGTCGTTCGTAGAATCTATCGTTTGTAATTGGCGAGCTTAAATATCGGCGATGAATACGGGCTTTAATTTTGATTGATGTTCCGCTCGAGAGTCAGGAAGCGTTGCCCGCGCTCAATCCTTTCAAAGGCGGCGCTTTATTTTACTCTTTTACAGCCCCCTACGGCCCGACACATACGGAACGTTTCAAATTTCGTGGCGCGTTAGGTGTGGCAGGTGCCAAAAATACGAGTCAGCAAAATGTTAATCCGAGTTTGCTCGAATCCTTAGATCCTGCAACTCTGTCAGGTCTGTATGTATGCAGCATCCTAAGTGACGGATTAATCGCGCGAATCACACATACTCGACGTAATACTAATCTTTCAACATTGATGAGCTATAATCAATGAATATTAATCAAATTTTATGTAAATGAAGGCAAAAAAAAAGTTGTAAAGAATACATGAATGCATGATCAAAACGACAAAATATAGCAAAAACATGATGTTCAACATTAAATATATAATTTAACGTAATTAAATTACAGATAATAGCTACAATTTTGTACATGTATATTAGATTCTAATATACGTGTATACATTATATTTTTGAATGATAATAAATTACTTTCGATATTACATTTAATATTCTATTTGACATTATTCTAGATTGAGGTAATTCGTTAATCGCAACTCTTTGAGGAGTTTTCAAATAATTTATTGCTTCAATTAATTTCTAAAGTCTTGAATTTTAGTCTTTTTGAAATTTTTAGCATCGAGCTTGAATTACGATCACTTAAGTGCATAAATTACACTTGTTTATGTAACATTACGACGCGTGAGCATAATTAATTATCGTTAATGCATAATGCATGTCGATTTGGCGTGCAGATTATATTATTATTCGCGGGTCAAAAAGCGCATTATTGGTCTGTGTACATTCCAATAATAGTGACAGGCATACAGATATACAGATATTTCTCTTCCACTGTTTTCTTCGAGTTTTCACATGACGGAAATGTCGGGCAATAAATGTCAGTCGAGATCACGGTTAAAGACTTGAATCCACGCGTTATGACGATCTTTAACTTTCTATTGATTCCTCGCTCGTGGATCACGCATCTGCGATGTCCTGAAGCGACATATGAGAGATTATTACGGGGAACAGCCGTCTCTTCCGTTCTGCTCGAGAATTTTGCGACGCGTGATACACCTTCATAACGTCAGTAATAATAACGGTTTACAAGCGCGATGTGACCGGAAATATTTTGTAATTGTGTATTCGCGATACTTTGCGTAGTGCATTCTCTAGACAAATAATATCGATAAGTTATTCGATTGAATAATTTGCAATGCAAAATATATATAAATAGTTACGTACTTTTCCGTTTCTTAGCATATAATTCATTTATTATTAATATTCATTTATTAATCAATCGATTACCGATCGTTACTTCAAGGATTTCCAACTGATATCGATATAAGAAATCTAAGGAAACATACAGTACAAGCTATTATTTTATATTAAATTTTTTGTTGCTACAGCCAGTTGTATGCATCGACATTCATTTTATTCATTATATTCATTTATATATCACTATTTTCTTTATTCTTATAAATTGTTTTTAATTCTTAATTCTTACAAATATTGCCTATTATAAGAACACTATGAAATCTGAATAAAATCTTAAGAGAAAACAATATCTGTGAATAAATAAGAATTATTTCAAAGAAATCGTTGTCTAGTCTAGAGAAAAATATGAAGATAAAATTTTTTACGATAATAAAAATTTAGATTTATTATTAATATTGCTTTAATGATAAAAGTGATGCAAAGTCTCGAAAACATCTGTTTAGCTGTCATAAAGGAAATAAAAACGATTTGTTAACAATTATTTATTCATATTACTAAGAGATTTAAAAAACAAGATTTATCGAGAGATAAGATTCGAATGATTAAATTATGTAAATAAAATTGTGTATCTTATTATAATCAATTTTATCCTTAACTCTTGTAATATGAAAATCAATTATCAAGTAATCAAAGTAGCAATTATCGGCATTCACATTGTAACTAAATAATCGTTGGAGAAACAAGCTACGAGGCTTGTCAGAGGGTACGACATCGAGCTCGTGGGGATTATATTCAACGAATGTCTGTCTATTTCTAAATCAATTTTATTCTAATTCTAACGGTACGAGAATCACGGCCAAATGGCAAATACTCGCTACCAAAAAATCGCTCAAAAAGCGAGCCGCAGGGTCCGCCAGCGGGCCGAGCGTCGAGATTGCAACGATCGAATCCCGTAAATCGATGCGCCCTACCGCGATTCTCATTCGGGGCATCACAGGCATCGGATCAAGTTACGGAGTCGGCAGGAGAGAAAAGGGGGCGAGGGAGAGGGGGAGAAATAAGAATGCCGCGTAAGTATAGAGAGCATAATAATCAGAAGTAAATTGCGAATACGTGAGGCTACCGTATTGTAGGGAACCTGAGGGAATCCGCGACTATACGGGGTCTCCGTCGTTCCCGCCGCGAGGCCCCTCCCCTAGCGATCGGCAGCATTCATCGTTCCTTCCGTAGGGCACCTCCGTAGGGCTGTCCCCCTCCCTCCCCCCCTTCCTCATGCGTGTGCGCCTGTGTGTAGGAAATATATGAATGCGAGCGTCTCTGACCTGCCGGTAATCTAATTTGAATCTCTCGGGGCCCCGGTCAGGTAATGGAACACGTATCGAATAATATTACGAGCGATTCGATTCGATATCATTTGTAATTCCGGGAGACCGCAACGCGTTGCAGGTCCACGGAGGCCAGCTATCCGGGTCCGACGTCGTGTGAACAGCTTATTTTATCGCGCAACTTGGAATAGACGAATATATAACGTAAGAAGAGAGGATATATCGGGAAACTTTTTAGGACCTCGTAGTATGTTCGGAGTACAAAGATGAGTCCTGCGACCTGGTGAACGTTCCAGGCGCGCATTAAAAAGAAAGTGAAAAAAAAAAAACAAAAATAAAATACACACAAGTAACGTCAAAAATAAATGTCTTTAGCTTGGATCTCGAAAATTATTTTTCGAAAAGGAAAGAAAAATATTTTTCTCGAATAATTTATTCGTTTAATTATGATTTCGAGAGAAAGATTATTATTTTATATAAAGGAATTTCTTTCATAAAATGTTGGAATATATTAGTTTTAAAAAATAAATTAACGCATTCTCTCTCTGAAAAATAGAACATCTCATTTTCAAAGAAAATCTATATTAAAAATTTATAGTATAAATTATAATAAGAAAATATAAATTTTTTTTACTAAACTTCTGTCTAGTAAAATTGAAAAATTTGGAAATTTTGGATAAGAGGTGATTACGGCAAATGAGTGTTTCTGGAGTAACGGAGCATTATCTTTTTGTACACTTATTTGCCTGCAGCTTTCGCAGCCGCCAACAGTCGGTTAGCCAATCAGTTACATCGAAATGTAGCAATCAACATTGCGAGTTAATTTCTAAGAATCTTGATGATTTTACACGGTTTTCTTGTTTCGTGTGTTAATGGTCAGTTAAAACGCTTTCCAGACGAGACGTTCCGTGAAAAAACATAATTAGGACATGATTCTATCAGCGTATAGTCTGTCATTAGAAAATAACCGACTTATACATCCTATGATAATGTTTCAAGATTAATTCACCTTGTTAGTAATGCAAAGTTAACGTAAATAGAACGGAATAAATGCGGATCTGCAATGTTTGGCACACACTGACTCATCTCCAATTTTCTGAAATGCTCTCATCGTCTCTCGACAAGTATAATAAACGTAACAATAACAAAAACGCTTTACAATTATATTATACAATTATAAAACAAACCGTCGAATCTACATTTTCGTTAAAAATTCTGTTTGAGAAAATAAATCGTCGGGCTATTTGGAAAGA